TATATATATATATATTTTATAATGTATCTGTTTGAAGCTCTCTTTTGAATATTATCTTGTGTCATCAATTAATTTATTTGTTCTTTTGCCCTACTTATCCTCTCTGAGCATGTTTGGGAAAGATGTTTTCCCATAATTTCAGCTGTTTTTGAAAAAATTTGCAAACAAAAAATATATGTTTTGGACAACAACTTAAATTTGTAAGCAACTTTTTTCCCCCTTAAAAAATAAGCTGTTTTCATGAATCTGAAAATTTAAAGCTTATGATTATAGTCCTATAACTTTTTTTCTTTCCTGAAACTAATTTACTACACAAAAGCTGATTTTTGTTGTATCCAATTGAAATTAAATATCAGTCATTTTTCAGTAAATGTACCCAACAAAAATTTATTCTGATTAGAATCGATTATAATAATAATCCATTGTACATATAATTGATTATTGATATAATCTAATTTGCATAGCTTTTCCAAGCACACCCTCTATGTTTTTTCCTTCTCTTTATAGTCTAGGATTAAGAGAATTATATTTTTGTGCATGTCAAGTTCATATGTTATTTTTTTTAATTTTCTTTTCTCTCTCTCTTTAAGTTTGACAATAATTTTGTTGCAGTTTCTTTTTATTATTATATATATATATGTTGGGGTAGAGGTTCTCACATTGTGTGTAATCCTTTTTGAGATGTTCGTTCACTTTTAGGATCATCGATTGATCCCACAAACCAATACAAGATTTTTCAACATGCTTTGTCCTCACACACACATTTTTCAAGAAATCTTCTAAAAAATCATCCATCCCTAAATTATTTCAAGCAAAACACGCTTAATTGTGGAGTTCTTATGTTATGGGCTATCGAAAAGTAGATGCATCTTATTAGTATAAGTAATACAAATTAATTCCTTTAAGCAATTCTCAATTGCACAGTCTTAAAATTGTACATATCACTAGATTCCTCTCATTCTGATGTGTTCGAGCTGTTACAAGCTTACTAGCTTCCGCTTGGTTGATCCTCGAACAACACCATACTTTTAGAGAGAACTAGGCTCTGATATCATTTGTAAGACCTTTAGATTTGACATCTTAGTGGCTCAACTCTATGATACTTCACATGGTGACACTTCACACAACTCTTTGTTGGTTAAAACCCTCAATGGTTAGAATACTCCATGCGTAGCCCTTTCTGAGATGTTTGTCTGCTTAACTATGGAGTTCTTATGTGATGAGCTACCGAAAAGTAAATGCATCTTGTTCGTATAGGCTATATAAATTAATTCCTTTAAGCAATCGTCAACTGCATAGTCTCACAATTGTACAAATTGTTGGATTCCTCTCATTTTGGTGTGCCTAAGCTGTTACAAGGCCTTAATACTATTTGTAACACCCCTCAGATTTGACATCTTAGTGGTTCCACTTCACAACACTTCATACAACTTTTTGTTAGCCAAAATCCTTCAATGGTTAGAACCCTCCATGGATAGCCCTTTATGAGATGTATGTCCACTTAATTGTGGAGTTCTTATGTGAAAAGCTACCAAAAAGTATATGCATCTTGTTAGTATAGGTATTACAAATTAATTTCTTTAAGCAATCCTTAACTACACAATCTGACAATTGTACAAATTGTTGGATTTCTTTCATTTCGGTGCGTTTAAGTTGTTACAAGCCTACCAACTTCCGTTTGGTTTGTCCTCAAACCACACTACACTCTAAGAGAGAACTAGGCTCTGATACCATTTATGACACCCCTCAAATTTGACATCTCAATGGCTTCACTTCACAACACTTCACATGGTGATACTTCACACAACTCCTTATTGGTCAAAATCCTTCATTAGTTAGAACCCTTCGTGGGTAGCTCTTTCTAAAATGTATGTATGCTTTTGGTACATTACTACTCCTACTAGGTTGTGAACTAGGATGATTTGATTGGACCACCTGATTGCTTTGAGGAAACTGCACTCCAACACTCTGTAAAATGTACAAATCCAATGTTATGACTTAAGCTTTACTAGTGGCATTCAGAGGGCATATAATGAATAATATAATGACATCAAAATTAATAAATAGCCAAAGTAATTCCTTATACTAAAGTTAGTTCTTGTACATTTGGATATGACACTACTTTCTTATATGCACTAAGTAAATGACTTCCCAAAATTTTGATATGCAGTGTGTTTGGAAAGTCTTGAAAGGAATACATCAATCACTACCAGTTCCATTTGACATTTGGAGCTCTGTAGAACAGTTCAAGTTGTCGTTTATCATCGATCTCTGCCAATGTAGATGACAAAAATGGAAAATGAATATTAGAAGGTATAACTTTGGTGCTAGTAGTATAATACTTATGAATTTAATCTCATGCTCTTCCACCTAAAACATAAATATTACAATTTTAACACTATTATCAAAAAACTTATGGAGTGAAATGACAGCTTTACTACTTAAATACACTTCTACATTAGTAGTGAATAAAACTTACTCGTTTGACCATCATTTTTCATGACCTCTTGAAGTAACCCAAAATAAGATGTGTCATTATTATCAACTTGAAGTCCATGATAACAATGAAACAAAATGTTTTGAAGTGTAACATACAAATGATTCACACAAAAGAAACAAAGAAAAAGTCATCAAAGGTAAAATCTCATTAACAAATTAACAACCTGTTGTGCTTGTGATAAAATAGGAACTTGGGTATCATGGCGATAAAAAGGAACTTCGACAATGTTAGGTAAGTTTGATAGTCCTTGGCTTGAAGCAACATACCCATATGTTGGGAATTGTACTTGGGGTACCATAGCCTACATTGGGGGTACCATATGCTGCATTGGGGGTACCATAGGCTATATTGGGGGTACTATATGATGTACTATAGCCTGCATTGGGGGTACCATATGCTGCATTGGGGTTACCATATGCTGCATTGGGGTTAACATAAGTTGCACTTGCGACATAATAAGGTGACCTCCATTAGAACAAACAACGTGTTTCATTATACAATTTAGATAAAATTATTAATCATTGCTAAGACATGTACATATCCATTTCTCAACATGCACATTACCATAGTCATGTACTTACAGGAGATTTATGTTTCAAATTTTTTTCTTCCTTTTGCTTCTTACAACAATTGCTAGATTTCCCTTTCCCTTTCTATAGACAAATAATATGTTACTTACAACCAAAGATAAAAATAATGAAATTTGAAATAAAAATAAAACTTATTCTACTTTGTCAATATGGCTTTTAGGCTTAATTGAAATTACATGGTCCTGACCCTTGCTTTCACTTGATGTCATTATTTTTGTATCCTACAAAATCAAAGAAATTCATCTCATTTCTGACACAAATGAAACAAAAACTCAATTGAAATAAAATTATAATTATTGTTAACAAGAAGCTTACACTATCAGCTACAATGTTGGATTTAGGACATTCCGGTTGAGATAACTTATCATCATTCATACTCTTAGCATTTGTACCAACACGCACTGGACATGTCTTAACATTGTACTTTGTGCTAGTACAATTTGAACAATGTCTTGACCTCTTCATACCAATCTTACTCTTCTTTAGAGCACTTTTAGTCTTAACCACATTAGGATCACAAAAGTGCTTTCCTGATGGGTTTGGTGTGTCAACAGAATCCTCTAATTTCTCATACTTATGAGTTTTAATAGGTCATTCATTACCTCATTGTATAGTCCTTTCTTTTTTGAAGCTATTTTGCAAAACCTTGTACAAGCACCACAATAAGCCCCAAACTGAGCAAGCTCCATCACATCAGAATCTACTCCCTTGGATGAATCTGATGACACAAAATCAATCTTAGCCTTTTTAGTCCATCGTGTCAAAATGAGACTGTCTAGAATATGGTCCACATGCTCCTCTTTCATGGCACAAAAAATATGAGAACAAGGAATACCCCATGACTCAAAATGTCTACATTCACAATAAAATATTGACCTTGAAGTATCATAAACAACTGTCATTTCAACATTACAATGACAATACTTAGTCAATTTCAAAATCAATTGGTCCCCGTTTACTACTCTTCTAGTAACAATTAACGTACTAACCAATACAATTTGCTCTTTAACTTCCATAAAAGCCTCTGCAGTGTAGATTTTTGCAGTAGCCTTCTCAATCTCATAAAGAGATGTCGTCAATACAAGATCTGAATATAGAGACTTAAAGTCAGCCACCAGTTCATTGTTTCTATATTCTCTTAAAGCTTGTTCAAAATTATGTATAAATTCAAAAATGCTGCATTTTTTCCTAACATATGTCTTCATGATTGAATTAATAGCTTCACACTGAGAAGTAGTACGTATACGACCAAAAAATATATCACGAAAGTAAGCAGTGGCCCATGATGATCTATTCTCATATGTTTTGGAAACCCATTTGTTCCCCACAAGTCCATGCTTCTCAACCATGTTCATCCAAAAATCTTCAAATTCCTCCGGAGTGAAATCTGAATACATTGCTTTCTTGAAATCCATCAAGAAAAGAGAACTCTTAACATTTTCACATGCATTTTTATGCAAGTGCCAGGCACATAGTCGATGACATGAATATGGAAAAACATGTTTTATAGCCTCTCTCATTGCCCCATCCCCATCTGTCACAACTGTTTTGGGATGTTTGTTTCCCATTGCTTCTAAAAATGATTTTAAGACCCATTTATATGTGTCAATGGTTTCATATAACACCAAAGCACAACCAAATATGACGGTTTGTGAGTGATGATTACATCCAGAGAAAATTACAAAAAGATAGTTATACTTGTTTTTCCTATATGACGTGTCAAATGCAAGAACGTCACCGAAACATAAAAAATCAAATCTACTGCATCCATCTGCCCAAAAAAGTTGCTCCAATCTACCATCACTATTAGTTGCAAATTTTGCATATAACATGGGATCATTGTCGGCCTTCCCACGAAGATAACTTAAGGCAGCAGCAACATCTCTATCTTTAATCTCACCACACATTTGACTATCAAAATAGTTATATAAATATTTCTTGGTAAAATCAACACTAGCATATCCACCCTTTTGAGCCACCATTTACCCCATCATATGACAAGTTTTGGTTCCATATGAATGCAAGCTATCAACTTGAGCTTTATCTGCATCTTTCAATCACGGTAAGCTGGGAACAAGTGCACATATCTTGAAGGTGTTAATTCATGGTTATGGACCACTTCAAAACATGTCACTGTCCATATTGATTTCTTTAAGTTGTAGTGTACACGAAGCCTAGCTTGGCATTCAACTCGTGTAATACGTCTATGATCTCTTTTCCTGTCTACCCTTTTGAAGTGCTTCTTATTTCTCAAACCTTGTCTATTACATACAAATTGCCGCATTATCACTTTTCCATTGACATTACGTTTCACTTCATCTTTTCTTACCACAAAACCACGACATTTTGCATATTTCTCATAAAATTCATATGCTTCCTATTCACTTCCAAACTCTAGCCCATATATGTCATTAGTCGTCAAGTCTGTAATTTGTTTAAATTCACCATCTCTTATGTTCATATTTGAATTCACATTTTGATCACACTGTATATAACGATACATACTATCACTTTCATCAGATTCTTTAGAAGAAACAAAATGCTTAACATCTCCATCATCACTTAAATTAACTGCTGACAAATCATCGAAGTTGTCCATCAAATGTAAAGTTTACCCTCTATTGTTTGAGAACTATTAGAAGCTATCACCTGTCAAAAACTCATAACTACTAGGTATTTAATGCATATAATATAATCAAATAGCAAAACAGAAACAAAAAAATAGATCAATATGGATAAGTTAATTTCACGTAATATACTAGGCAAAAACATAGACACACTCATAACCATAAAAAGTATACAATAACATTGATTTGGATTACAAATTAAAAGTCCATTACCCTTTTCATAACCTAGCACATGTTTATTCTTTTACCGTCAGGAATCCTATTCCTTTAATCATGGCCAAATAGAAAAGAAAAATGGCTTACATGGCATACCAATACCATCAGCTTTAACATGACAAGACTAGCATTATTTTTACTTTTACGTAAAAGCAACTCCAACGACCTGGAATAACTTAATTGACCAAATTTAGCCTACATTGTTTTATATAGAAGAGATGGCACTAATTATTTGGTTTTGTGTACTTTATGAAAGCATAGATGGCTTCTAACTACTTCCTCTTGTTTGTTCTTGTTGCTGCTACTTTACTTTCTAAAGCAAATGCTAAAAAGACGTTATTTTCGGACTTCTACTCTAGCAGCTGCCTGGAACTCTTGCCTATAGTGCAAAAAGTAGTTATAAAAGCCATTAAAAATGAAACTGGCGGAGGAGCTTCCTTACTCCAATTGCTTTTCCATGACTGCTTTGTAAATGTGAGTATATGCATTAATTTGTCTTATTTTAGTGATCTTCTATTTTTCTCAATTTGGCTTTACTTGACACAATGATCAAGGTTGTGATGCATCAATACTGTAGGATGATACAAGCAATTTCATAGGAGAGAAAATAACAACACTTAACAATAATTCAGCAAGGGGATTCAATGTCATCGATGACATTAAAGCCAAGGTGGAGAAAGCATGCCCAAGGGTAATATTCTTGCACTCGCTGCTCAAGACTCTGTTGTTTATGTAATAAACAATCCAAATAGTATTAATCTATGACACTTAAAAGGCTTAAATTTCAAAAGAGTTACATTTGTTTTGATGGGATTAATGCTTGTTGAAATTTACAGCTAGGGGGACCATTGTGGAAAGTAAGCTTGGGGAGAAGAGATTCTATCATAGCTAGCAGAGTTGATGCCAATAACTCCATTCCTTCACCCTTACTCAATCTAACCGCTCTCAAAAGGAGTTTCTCTAACTAGGGACTCTCTGTGAAGGGCTTGGTAGCTCTTTTAGGTACTAAGTACTACTCTCTCCATCTCAAAATCACTTGTGTTTAAGATTTTTACACCCAATTTAAGAATAATAATAAATATATTAATCTTTATATAATTTTATTCTCTTAATAAATATATTTTTTAATTGTGATGGTTAAATAATTTACTAGGAATAAATTAAAAAAAAATACCATAAAGAATGTTTGAAACAATAAACAGACAGCTTAATATTGATGCTTATGACATTGCTGGTCGACAGTTGAAATGGATAAGACAAAAAATTGGCCTTGTTAACCAAGAACCAGTTCTATTTACTTGTAATGTCTGATGCATAGAATACTCCTAAGAACAAAGATCATTGATCCATAATTTATGTTTAGATTTTTTCTGTATAATTGTTACTGAAATCTTGAATGACAAACAGCTTGTAGTGACCTGAAGTGGGGATCTATAAATAATGTCTCAAACACCCTGATCATTATCATCCTGCTCGATTTATACTTTGTCCAAATCTATTTTCTAAGGACCAGTTTGATTCTCATTCAATAAATTATACTTTAATGCTAACAAACTACAAACTATTTAATTCATTTGAATGAATTCCATCATCATGGTTTTAGGCCACAAATCTGCTTAATCAGAGATCAACAACTACTGCCTTGAAATTGTGAATTGCACCTGCCTTAATTGGTTTTTGCTAAAACTATTGGTAATGATGTGAAGAAACTCGAGAAATGAGAGCTTTGCTAATGTATGAGAGTTTCCAATGTATGGTTGAAGTAGGGTCTTTTGTAGTGAAGGTAGCATAGTGTGAATCAATTTGTACTATGTAGGCAAAACCAGGGTATTTTCAGTGAGTAAGATGAAATCGTTGTTATTAAATTCGATCTTCATGTCAAAACCCTTCTTTTATAGAGGGTTTAGTAGTAATGCCCAAAGAAAAAATCTTGAGGGGATGCAAGGAAAGGGCTGAAGATGCAGGAGCAGTTTTTGAATGTAAATAGGAACCTAATAGTCTAATAACATGCAAAACAGAGTACAATAAGTACCTTAAAAAATGAAAGAAACATATTAAGAAACAATCAGAACTGAACAAGCACAAACAAATACTACTACATGAAAGAAAAATAGGAACATAAAGCATTATTATTCAGATACACCAACTAGAAACTCGATACGATAACTGTAGGGAGTATGCAAAAAACAAAAAAAAAAAGAGTAAAGGACCAACTTTATATCCATCCAAATTCCAAGGGAACTTTGTACGCACATCCAACTTTTATCCATAAATACTTTTTGGATACGGAAAGGCATCTAACAACAGGACAACTTCCATTCACCTCCTTATCTAATAAGATAATTATTCATGAATTAAAGAATGATCACCTATGACTCGGAGAGAGTGACTACCTCATATCCAAGGAGATGGTTCATCAATCAAGTTCAATTAAAAAGAAGGCATCTTATTCAAACACAAAAATACAACTATGGGTTACCCCCCAAAAATATCATTGCAAGGAAGTTGATGCTCAAACATACGAGGGACCCTAAAAGAAGGAAAAAAATCTTTTCAATAGTTGCAAATACCAACGGTTTAATTTTGACATTTATATAGAAGAAACATCATTTATTTGCAGTACCAATATCTAGTTAGCGCTCCTATGTTTCAAGTAAAGAACTACATGGTGGTGGTTGTTACCAACTTACCATATAACAAAGGCCTATATAAGTTATTAAGGTACACAAAACAAAACATATTCATAGCTTGAACTCAGTCCCCAAAAGACATGAACTCCCAAATCCCTTAAGACATGACCCAAAAAAAAAAGTTCAGTCTACATATTACAGGATAGTCCAGCCCAAATTCATATTTTAAGTCAAATGCATGTAAAATCTTCTGCAAAAAACTAAAACAAACATATTCACCAAGTAAATAAATTATTATTGAGCAAAAAATTATCATATGTAGCAATGAAGCCAAATTAGCTCTCAAAAACTGAATCCTGATAGACACATGGAAGTAGCTTTCTACTTTGTATGAGAAACAACATAGTTGATGGATAAAAGATCAAAATTCTCAATTCTTGAAATAATAATCATCTACACACATTGGGACAACAAAAGCATATAAATTTTGCCAATAAAAATATCAAAACAAACAAGCATCAAAAGGGAAAACAATAATCTCACAGAACGCCAATCTTGTTAAAGCACACCCAAATCATGTCATATACAACAATACCGCAGAATCACTCACAGCAACATCAAGCACCATCCATGAATATTCCCGGAATTGAATCCAATGTGAGTGAGATAACCGAAAAAAGAAGAAGAAGAAGGGAAAAACCAGGAAGCGGAGGGGAAAAACCAGGACAATGTTGCCTAAATCCAGTACTCAGAAATCCGGTAACGTTCTTGTTCTCGCTCGCTCGCGAAGGTACGTCCACAAATTCTATTCTCATTTTCCCGTATATCTTCACAAAGTGAGAAAGATGCAGAAAGATACGAAAAAAAAACCGTAAACTTCAGATAAGTTTTTTATTTACGTGGATTTTAAATAAATAAAAAATTAAAAATGAAAACAGAAGCGGACAGTGGGGTCAAGGGGGATGTCGTCACAGGCAAAGGCAACCTTGGACGGGTCATGGTCGACGATGGAGAGGAGGGAGTAGTGGAGGGCGGAGGGAGGAGCGACAAATGGCTGTGGCGAGGGAGTTGAAGAAGTAGGGGGAGGGGTTGAGGCGGAGGGGAGGGAAGTGGGTTTCGTCCATGAATTCAAGCTCGTCGAAGAGGTTGATGGCAGCGTCAACGGTAGAGAGGTCAATAGGGCAGGAGACGAGGTAGGGGCGGGGGAGAGGTGGGTGTAGAGAAGGAAAACCACCACGGTCAACGAAGACAAGGTTACTATGGTATAATTATAAAAAAAATTAATAAAAACTTAAAAATAAATAATATAAAAATTTAAATACAAAAAATTCTTATTTAAAGAACTGACATGACATTTAAATAATATATACATACACATCAGATACAGTACCATAATCCCTCATTTATTTATTAGAGATACACTAGCAACCCCCATATATTATACTTGCGAAAAGTGACAATCGTTTTCACTTTTTTGTGCCTAATTTAATCGATAATTATGCTATGTGGACTGAAAACTAAGGTGTAGTCTCAAATCTCAACCTCAATCAACGCGTTGTCCTCGTTGCTCCAATCACGTTGCATGTGGGACAACTGTCCCATAATAGAAGGAACACGAAAGCAACTCAGAAACAGAATAAATTGTTATTATTATATAAAGAAAAATAGAAACTGAAGAATTAACCAACCACGTTGCATTTGTACGCGGTTACGCAAATGTTAAGTACTCCTACAAGCAAAGTCCTCGTTCTTCTTAAAGCTAAATCGTGAAGCCAAATTAAAGATAGCTTAATGCTAGTAATAGCAATAATCAATGAAACGCTGCGTATTGTAGGCACGGAAGAGGAATATAGTTATTGCGCGAGGTGGTAATATTAATTAATCGATTATTAATGGAGTTTAATTCCTGGCGGTTTACTTTATTCCTTGTTTGGAAGGCAAAGCAGTGTGAAAAAACCGGGTAAGTCCTTGTTTGATCAAATCAAATATCAGGAGGGGCAAAAGCGGAATTAAGTATTGACCCGCTTTTTCGAACGCCGTAATAAACGTACAGTCCACGGGTAGTGTGAGGTTTCGTTTATATTTTCTAGAAAAGAAAAAAAATTCAAAACCCGCGTTGTTTTGTGTTGTGTTGAGTTGTGACTGAGCGGGAGAAAGTTTCTGGATATTAATCGTATGCCGGATGGTAATCGAGTAGGCCGTATACTCGAATACCCGACCCGACCAACCCGATCAAATTTGCTGAGAACATTGACTACTCACTACCTGAGCCGAATATGTCGATATGTTCGGCCAAGTTACGGATTTATGTTAAGACAATTAAGGAGATATTAATTTATATAATATGCCGGTTTAGTCTCCTAATTTCTTGAGGCACAGTCCTTAATCACGACTCAACAAGAATCACTATAAATAGGACCCTAAGGAGGTACGTAACTAACTTTCAACTACCGCATTTAATACGCTGAGCACTTACTTGAGCGTTGGAGTGTCTTTGCAAGCACCCCCTAATTTCGGACTACTCGAAAAGGAACGAGAAGGTCCTAGACCCAGGATCAGACCTGCAATAACCAGGATAAGTAAAGTGTGTATCCTAATATAGGAACAAATCGATTGTGCATTTGACCTGTGATTGAGTGAAAACAAAGTAAGGATAGTGCGTTTGAATTTTGAAAGATAAATGACACGGATGAAAATTACGTCACTAATGAGAAACTCGCGTTTGATCGAGAATCACGAAAGTGGAATACTCTGAACAGAAATTGAGTTTAGGAATGCTTAATTTAATTTTGATTTGGTTTGCTTATTGATCTATTTGGTTTGGTTGAGGGGAGTATTGAAGTAAAGTAGGTTTGGTCGGTGAGAGTAGAGGAGTTAGGTAGAGAGCGAAGCGATTGAAAATTATTAGTGTTTTAGAATGAACAAATCAATTAAAATATAAATGATAAGTGACCCAAATGAATATTTCAATAAATAAAGGACTACAATAAATCTAAAAAATAAGATAAATGATCAAAATTATAATTTAGTTTAAATTTTTAAATTTTTCATATTTTTATTGGGCTTGTGAATTGACCTGTTTATCCTCGTGTCAGACTCTAACTAGAAATTTTTGATTAATTATTTTGCTGATTTGATTTATATGACAGGTTTAAAATGCAACTTTTATGAACCAGCCCTTAAATGAGGTTGAATCAATCCATATACCCACTCTTAAAATTAAGTTGATGTGAAGAGGAATTAATTTTAAAATTTTAATAAAATATTTGTAGCTTAAGATAATAAATGACAAAAGTGCGTCTTTAATAATCATTAACTTATAATGACTTAAATATGTTTTTAATCTTTCAAATTTAGGGTCAATTAATTTTTAGTCTTTTAAATTTAAATTAATTTTTTTAGTCAAATAATTTTCAAAAATTTTGTTTTAACCTCTTAAATTACTAATAATAAATCTAAAAATAATATATTGAGAAAATTATATATTACATTTTATGCATTATCAACTAGATTTAATGTGATATTTTTTACTAGTAAAGACATAAATAGATACATTTTATATGATAATATTTAATAAACTTTTTAACAAATTTTGAATATAAGAATTAAAATAAATTTTTTTGAAATTAAAAAATTTAAAAAATCTTTTAAATTTATAGAACTAAAAAAATTTACTTAAATTTGAAAAATTAAAATTATATTTAAGCCATTTAAAAATTAATCATAACCTATTTTAACTATACAGAATTTGTATCACAACCACAATTGTGAATTTCCAAATCAATGACCACAGCGGTAATTTATTTTCTAAAAAGAACCAAATACTTTTTTCCATACACACTTTACGAGTGGTAAAAAGAAAAAAAAAAATTCCCTACTGAATATATTGCTCACTTTAACTCACTATATAAGTTAAGAATCAAGCTACAACTACCAGCCTATATACCTGCTATTCTTCTTCCATTTCATAGATATTTCTCTGCATCAGTATAATTCTTTGGCTGGTTTTCTACCAATATCAGATTCATGTATGTTCAAATTGCAATCAATCTTCAATTAGTTACATTTGGTGGATATATATCAATCTGCTGTTTGGTATTTGTTTTTAATCCGAATATATCTGATATATACATGATATTCAAAAGATGTTGGTTGCACAATTTGGATGTGTATGTTGAAAGATCAACAGATTGGTTTCTCAAGAGGATGAAACATCAATCTGATATGTTATCTCAATTTTTGGTGTCGTAGAAATACACGATTCGAAAGTATAAACTGCAGAACAGAAATTCGAATCATAAATCTCAAGGAAGGACAGTTGAAACATCCTTCTGCAAAGGTAGTATCTTAACCAATCTTTTTTATCCCAATAGTAGTTGTTTTGTGGTGATTCTAAAGGAAGAGTTAATGCAGCTATTAATAAAGGAATAAGTATGAGGTTGTTCTTTGAAATAGAAAAGTAAAAGTGTAAAATGTCCTTTCTTTTTTTTCCGGTGATGATTGCATAGTGGGTGAGCATTAGGCAATTTTTGGTGGTTAAAAAGAACAAAACATAAAAGAGGCCAAGTTTGAAATCTTTTTCTTTTTGAAACTACATGATGGTGCTAGTTCAAAGCTCTCTAATCCAGATCCAATCTGGATATAACAAAGTAATTAAAAGATGGGGCTAGTTGAAGCTCATCACTTTGTTTCATCACTTCAAGAGTTGATTATAAACAATTAATTCTCTAAGTAGGGCATCGATCTTCTCCCCCAACTTAAGGGGGAGTTTCAAAGGATAACAAAAGATAGTTTTCTGTTTAGTGCATATTTCAGTTATGTATTATTTTTAATCATTAAGATCAATTTTTTTATTCCAAAGAATTAGGATAACTTGCTTTAGAGTTTCATATGTTATTATCACAATCCTCCATCGAAGAGTTTCATCCTCTTCGAATAACTTGTTCTAGAGTTTCATCTGTTGTTCCTTCTACTCAAAGAGTGCATTGCTTAATAAGGTCCAAAGAAAGGAAGTTTTTCCCTCCTTCTGCCCTTCATGTATCCTCATTCCAGTTGATATGATAAATGGAGTATACGTACGAATGCTTTAAATTGTTAGAACCTATTAAACCTATTCCGATCCCCACTGGTGGTGAGTTTCCAATTGGACAAGAGCAACTTGCTTCAATTTCAAGGGAGCATGACACTGCTGCTCTGCAGCAATATGGAGGGGTATGTTTGTCAAAAATGATTTCTTAACTTGGCAATGGTATTCTTCAGTGTCAAATTTTCCAAGTTTCTTCTGAATCATTATCAGGTTGTAGGGCTATCGGATTTGTTGAAAACTAATTTAGAGAAGGGGGTTCATGGTGATGATGCTGACTTACTAAAGCGAAAGAATGCATTTGGTTCCAACAATTATCCTCGGAAGAAAGGAAGGGGTTTTTTGGTAAGTTACTTGGAGAGCTGGAGTCTTTAAATGCTTAATGATTATATGGTATAAGTTTCTTCTTCGTCATTGGGGGATATTGTAGTGACCTGGTTGTTTTTCATGCCTTTTACAGATGTTTATGTGGGATGCATGCAAGGATCTGACATTGGTTATTTTAATGATAGCTGCTGCGGCTTCATTGGCATTGGGGAAAAAATCTGAGGTGAGATTTT